GTGGTTGAGCGTGTGTGATTCTTTCTTCATTTAATCATGTACCTCGGTGAGGACCAATATTTCTCAGTTGTTTGTTATCATGACTTGATTTTTATGCATGGATAACTGTGATTAGTGAGTCATTTAGACAGGTTGTGTATTGGTCTGTGAACAAGGTGAGAACTCTATGTTTCCACGATTCTACTGCATTTAAATGTCGATTGTGGTGGTTTTCACAGTTGTTGTTGTTGTTGTCGTTCATATGTCGGTTTCAAGTAGCCATTGTGATTCACGTATTTTGCTCTTCTATGACATGCCCTTAAAGTTTTCAAGAAAGAAGTTGTTAGCTTACTTTGTGTTTTACATGGTTTGCTTGAGGACAAGCGAACATTTAAGTGTGGGGGACTTTGATTCGGGCATAATTACACATTTTCACCACTTCATATCTTGATTGTTTAACTCAGCAATCATCATTCCTAGACCTATTTTATGCTAGTTGTACTTCTTTTGTCACATTTCAGGTCCTAGTATGCGTGGAAATGTCAAGAACAAGTTTTGGGATAGATGGAGGTAGTAGGTGGAAATTGGGAACGGATTCCCGTCTCCCCTTACACACTTTCGCCCTATTCGCACGGGAGACGTTATTTTAAAGCACATTTTCGAGCACCTGTTATTTCAAAACATGATACAAGAGTCCATGACAGGCAGAGAGTCCACACACCACACAATTCAAGGGTCCTAAGATCACTAATTCACTCAATCAACCAACACACTATGAAGAAGAAATGAGACTTCTTAAATGCATCAACATCCTCCATAGTGCTACACTACCTCCCTAGGTTGCAAATCACTACAGAGACTGTCAACTCAGCATACTGAGCAGGCAATTGCAGGAACACGTACTTGGAGCCCTCAAATTTAAAAATTTGGACAGTGGACTAGGCTCCAAGCACACAAACAGCTAAACACTCACCCGCATACATAATCGAACATTCCCCCACACTTAAGCACGACATTGTCCTCAATGGAGGAAAGATAAGGAGGGTAGAACGAAGTTACCAGATCAAGGGTGAATGATGATGGACGGGGCAGGCGGTGCATTCCAGGAAGAGAGAGTAATCAGAACACAAACACCACACAAAATCTCACAAAGGTGGAGTTATTGACTCTAAAATCAAATAACAAAACTGACTCGACCGAGGAGAAATAGAGAAAGAAATGCAAACCGACTGGTTGGGTTGCCTCCCAACAAGCGCTTCTTTCACGTCGTGAGCCGGACGATGGCTCCTAAGTTTCGGTCCACCCCAAAACCTCCTTGAAGTTGAGGTTCTCGTCGATGAGGTGGAGTCTCAAGTCACGAGCATGTGGTGCGGCAGGTGATGAAGGCTCGTGCACTTGATGCAGATGAAGTCTCCACCCTCGAGACCTCTTCTTCTCTTCTCTCGTCTCATTGCCCCAAACCAGATATGACAACATCGATTGACCACCATCGCGTCCACCAAGAGGGACCGATGTCGATGTGGCCTTGGTCTGGCAAAGAGACACTGCAAATGGGTCCTTGCTGAGCAATTCCTCGAAGTTTGGTGGGGATATCACAAGTAACTCATGGCCGGTGCAAGCCTCTTCCACCTCAACTCCGTCCTCAGCCTGGACGCCAATTGCTTCTTCAACCTCCCTTTCTTCTTCATGTGGTATCACCCCTGGGAAATGATCAAGAATTCCTCCTGCTTCGCTTTCGTCATCCTCCACAACCTCTTTCTGCACCCTTTCTTGCTCTCTTCTTCTTCTAGCACGGATTGGAGAGCAAGTTGCCAAGCAATTTCTTTCATGAGATCTTCTTGCATCTCCTCACTCATGCCCACCTCTTCAAAGCTCAGTGTGGGATGTGGGAAAGGGTGGCCGGCTACGACAGGACATTCCTGATCATGATCATCACGGGAGCTCTCCGTGACAACTTCTGTGTGCTCCACAATGTCCTTGTAGCCTTCTTCTTCCTCGTCCTCTTCTAGTATGGTAGCAGACGGGTGATCTTGAGCAAGTTGTGAGCAAACTTGCTCCACCCACTCTGTTTGCTTCGCTGAGCGTTGAACAGCCTCCTCCATATCATGGAGAAATGAGGGATCGGAAGAGGAAAGGGCTTGGATTTGAAGATCCATCTTGCGATTGCGTCTCTCGGAGTCCCGAACGAACTGCTCCAAGAGAAGCCTCAGTTCATAGTTTGGATCTGGCTGTGGAGTGTAGCATGGCTCTGCAGAATGGCCCGTGAAGGCCGCCATGGGTAACTCCAGCTCTGATGGCCCTTCTGGTTGTGGAAGAAAGTCTTCTTGGTAATGAAATTGTTCTTGATATGCCCAGGGGTCAGATTGTACTCCGTAGTAAGGGGGTTGGTACTGGAACCCGAATCCATAGTCTTCTCCTCCTTGATTGCTCCAGGGTGTCTCGGGGTAATACCACTCGGATGGTGGTGGATACCCCCAATGATTGGAGAAGCCATGAGGATCCATGATTCAGATCTGCACCAACAAAAACAAAAACACCCAAGTGAAAAGCAAGGGTGGAAAAGAAAAGAAAACCGCTAAAGTAACAAACTTCTGCCTTTCCTAATACTCTAGAAAGTCCCCGGCAACGGCGCCAAAAACTTGACTCGCTAAAACACAACTCCTAACAATGGCCAAGTGTAACCAATGAAAGGGACTGCAGTATAGTGGCTCAAGTAATAAATATCGAATCCACGGGTCTCTAGAGTTACTATTACTCAGCTTCAGTTCATTATCTAGCAAAACAGATCAAGATGAAAGAACTAAAACTACTCTAGCAAACTACAGTTAAAGTTAATCTAATTACAGGTTGGGAACTCACTTAGGTATGATTCCCCCTAGCCACTAGCCAGATTAACGATGATGATCTCTAACTTGTTTCACTTTCATTCACAATGCGGAGAATCCTTGACTAGACCTTGAGTCTCGACTAAAGGAACAAGGCCCTCTTGAGTCAATTGCCTAGAGGGACGTATCCTTCTCTAGAACAATCGATCAAGGCGTTCTGAACTAGACTCCCTCTATCGAATGAGGTTCTCAATCGATACAAAGCAGTGAATCAACCCTCGACTAAAGCAATCGATCCACTACTATCAATCTATGGTGCTCTATTGACCTAATCAGGTATTCGCTCTCATAGGATCAAAGCAGAATCAATAATCTCGACTAAAGCAGAATTGAATCGTGAAAACATGCATAGATTGAATATGAACTCAAGATTATCAAGTCAGAGTACTCATACAATCATCCAATCAAACAAACATAGCTAGGGTTCCTCAAAACCTAAGTGAAGGGAAGTTACTCCATAGAGAAGAGAGAGACTGCAGTAAGAATCTTCAGATGATCAGTCTTCAAGTCCGGGCTTGATTCCCGAGCTCCAATGGCGAAGAAATCCTCCAAAATAGCTCCAAGAATGTTCCCAAGTCGCTCTCTCTCTCTAGGGTTCGTCCCTTGGGTGTTTGGGATCCAAAACCCAGCTCTCCCTTCCTTTGGCTGAAAATCGGGTTTTAAACAGCAATTCCCGACTCGCACGGCCAGGGTGCACGGCCGTGCACATCACCATTCTGGCCGTGCACTCCAAAACGCGGCGTATCAATAAGTCGAACCTCAACCAACTCGCACGGCCAGGATTGCACCTTGCACGGCCGTGCGGATTTCACTTGTGCCCGTGCGTGCCCACGCACAATCCCGCACGGCCAGGCTGGTCACTTGCACGGCCGTGCGTGGCCACGCACAATCCCGTGCGTGCCCACGCACAATCCCGCACGGCCAAACTGGTCACTTGCACGGCCGTGCGGGTTGTGGGTGTGCCCGTGCGACTTCCTCAGAACCTCGCCATGCGTCCGATCCTCGTCCAATCGACCTCAAACTCGCTCCCAAGCCTCCATTCACGTACTAGGACCTGAAATATCATAAACAAGCACAACCTAGCGTGAAATCGGCCTAAAACACGAGAATCAATACCTCAAACGGAGTAAGAGCAGGGGTAAAAACATGTGTAACTAACGGTCTATCAAACTCCCCCACACTTAACCGTTTGCTTGTCCCCAAGCAAACCTTACTCAAACCAATGCAACTCTCCAGACCTCTATAGCACAATAATCAATAACAAAGAACTCGAGAGCTCGTCTCTCTATGGACTAGTCCTGTTTATACTGAATGGGGAAACCACGTAAATCCTATTGTCTCATTTTTCCGTGTTTATGTTTTCTTCATCCCCAACTAGATTTGGTCGTCAACGGGAGAGAAACAATGACAGAGGGTGTGGAAACGGCTTCCGATGTTGGGCAGAGAACTGAGAAGTGGAGGGAATCATCACCGTCCTCGTCATTTGTCGCCTTCGTGGTGGTGGCTTCCCCATATATGCTTTTGGCGTCGATATTAGCCGGTAGTCGATGACTCCTCACTTTCGGCCCGGGAAAACTCAATCCGACATCCAACAGCATCACTCCCGTCGACATCATCGCTTCCGACTTCGGGCAATCGCTCCGTCGGTCCCAAACAATCAATCGTTGCCGGCAATACCTCCTAGGTCCGTTGGTTCGATGAAACCGAGACGTCCAGAGAAGCAGAAACCAAAACGCCAAAAAATCCAGCAACTCTTCAGATTAATAGAGCTAGTGTGTGGTCATCAACGACATGGTGGTGGTGGCTGAGTTTAGCTTTTTGCGGTGGAAGATCATTTTGAACATATATATTTATTTTTTTAGTAATGGACTAATGTTAGCTGAGGTGAAAAATGTTCAATAGTTAAATTATATTTTTTTATTAATTTTAATTAACAAGTCAACGAAATTGAACAAAGAGTGACCAATGGTAAAATAAGATAGTAAAGTTAGTGACCATTAACGTAATAAATTTTTTTGAGTGACATACACAAACCAACATTAGTAATCTCAGTGAACAAAATTTACAATTCACTCAAAACAAAATGAGAATATGGATCAACGTAGAACAAATCCTGATTATCAGAGTTCAGAATCTAGAGTCGAGAATATTGGTTGACAATGTTAAACCACACCACTACAGCATAATAAAGTAGGCACCTCCTACAGTACCTTGTACTTTTTTCAAGTTAGGTGACTTGTTTTTTTTTTTCCACAAATCTGAGCCATTAAAATTGACAACAGGCCATTACAACCATTGATGCTAAAAAAAAAAAAACACGCGCAGATGGGAAACCGGCTGTACCGGTACGCCTGGCCGCCGAAAATGTCGCCGGAATTCTAAGGGAAGAGATTGTCGGTTTGAAAGATAGGTTTTCCCATGCCAATTAGGAGTCGGCCAAATTGTTTATGCATTAGAATTAGGTTTTCCCAATCCGCAGATTGCTTATCCGCCGACTTGTGGGATCTCTCTGTTCCGTCAGCCGCCAGAAGCACCCACCGCCTCCTCCTTCAACGACGGACCCGGCACCGCACGGAACGGATCGACACCGTCGGCGGAGACAGGGGATACGAACGCCGGCCTCGCAGCCTTCATCCGCCTCTGCCGGCTCTTCGCCGGCGCCTCGGAAGCCACGATCGCATCGCGGTACCCGTATCTGAAATCGCAGCACCAGTTGCGGTACTTCTCCAGATCCCTCTTCGCCAACTCCAGATCTAAGCTCCTTGGATATCAATTGAGTCTTCAGTTCCCCAGTTGTTTGTCCTTCTCCTTCAATTGCTTTTTGTAATCGACGATTTCCTCACACTTCTCGCTGCGGCAGGGGAACCCATGAGACTATCCCAGACTTCGGCGACTATAGACGGTGGAGGGGTATTCGTGGCGCCGTGTTGAGACTTGAGAGCAGCTGAAGGTGGCGATTAGTTTGAAGGACTGGACTCCAACGTCGGATCGGCGATTCTCCACCGTTGGCGGCTTTGAAGGTGATATAATGGTTTTGTCCTTTCTGTCTTTTTCTTTCTCTTGGATGGTCTGTGTTTTGGTGCAGGGCAGTGCAATTATATGGTTTGTTTGTATTATGGAATAATCACTTTTTGAGGGCTCTCCAAATCCTATATTTGGAGACTTTCAATATTGGAAAACAAAGACTGCAGGCTTGGAGTTCTCGATGAAGAGAGCTTTGTTGTCCATTAAATGTTCTGTTCTTTTTAGGTTAAGCTTTAATGTATGTTTTAATTTATATTAGTTCTACTCAATACAGCTTACAAATGAGTATGATGGATGAAGGTATGTCTTCACAGGCTGATGGTGAAAAGCAAACAAGAAAGAAAATGGTATTAAGCTTATGAATTTGTTAATGATTTATTGAGTTTTATATGAAGCATTTGTCCCGGATGAAGTTGTAATCAATTTAAATTCATGATGTTTAGGAGAAGCAAGAAGATGGGTCTACACGTTTAAATGAAGAAACCGACAAGGATAAGATTGATGCTATGGATGCTTCAACAAAAAAGGTATTTAGTTTTGGTTCTACACGTTCATATATGCCCTATACATTTGTCTATATAATAACAATTCACTTTTTCATAATTCAAATAATGTAGGTATATTTGAGCAGTCGTTGTGGCGTACAAGAATTATGTGGACTCTTAGAAAGTTTATCTGATGATAAAAAAAGGGTCATTCTAGATATGGGATTTGGAGGGCTCTTGCATCTGAAGAAGCATAAATTGAAGATGCAGCTTCTTGAGGACCTTATGATGAGGTTTAATGTGACTACTAGTCAACTAAGTGTGCATGGTAATCGTCTTACCCTAAGTGTTAATGATGTTGTCACCATATTGGGTTTACATGCTGGGGGCATGAATGTGGAAACCCAACTTGGCGAGGATGATGAAGTGAGGGTAAAATTTAATTTGGGTACTGGACAAATAAAATGTTCTAGATTGAAAACAGATTTGTTAAACGATCTCACAGTCGGTGAAGAGTTTAGGGGGAAATTTCTTTTATATTTAATGTGTAGAATATTGAGACCATCAACTGCCGTTCATGTTCCCAACAATTATTTGAAAATATTGGCCAATGTTAACGTTGTGGGGAACTTGAATTGGGCGAAGTTCGTCTATGATGGTCTTTTAGAGGGTATAAAAGATTATAAAAAAAAATCGGATGGAGCATCAAGAGATCAACACGTGACTGGTTGCGTTTTATTACTTGAGGTATGTGAGTTCTACTTTTTTAAGTAAGTTTTGTTAATCAAAATATCATAACGTTTACATTTTCAGACTATTAAATTGGATGTTACTTTCTTATTTTGTAGATATTTTACCTAGAACACGTGAATATGCATAACTTGACTCGTCATTCAAGCTCCTTACCACGCATACGACATTGGGATGACAAGTCCATTTCAAAGATTGTTAGCAAGGTTTCTAGTTTAGGCGGAGTTGATAGCATACAGGTAAATATTAATATTTTTGTCAAATAATTGACTGTGACTAAAACTAATCATTCAATTTCTTTGTATGGAGGTGGGATTTGGCGGAGATACTGGTAGTTGTTTCACAATTGAGGTTAGATAGATTTTATTTATTTATTATGAGTGTATCTTATACTATCTCATATCTTAAATTGATGAAGTAATGTATTATTGATAGAATAATTTAATTTTTTTTTTATTGTATTCATGTTTGACACAGGATATTAAAATAGAAATTGGTCAATTGAGAAATGAGTTCCAAAAAGAAATGCATTCTGCGAAGTCACAATTAGGTGAACTGAAAAAGGAGATGTCTGATGCCATGTCACAAATACTCACAACTTTGGGCACTATTCAAAGTCAGTTGCAAAGTGGAGGTCCAAAAATAATCATAAAGGATGAGCCGACAGTGCATGTTCTTACAAGAAAACAAGAGGAAGTTAAGGTTGACGCGAATGGTACGATCAATGGAGACAAGAAAAGCGGAGACTATCTGACTACAATTGAAGATTCAACTAATCTTTATGATAAGTTGAATAACATAGTCCATGATTTAACGACAAAAGAAGATAATATGGAGCTTTCAGATGATGCAAGCTCACCTCCAGAATTATCAAAAGCTAAGAGAAACCACCTGGTAATTTTTTTAGTTTTAAAACCATTTTGAGTCTGCAAATTTAGTTTGCAATTTTTTATATATATGATGATTTATTGAACTTGTTGGTTTAAGGAAAAACAAGGGAACACGATAACTGATGCAATTCCATCTCAAAATGAAATGAAAAGAAAGGCAAATCAACATGTAAGTGTATGCGTGTCCATTCCCTATGTATTCTCTAATTATTAGTGCTTGTGATTAGGTGATGGATAACATTATTGTTTCGTGGAGATTAATATGACCAGCTTCTATAATTATTTTAATTTCTTGTGGTAATCTTGTTTTCAATTGTGGCAGGAGGAAGATGAAACAGATTCATTTGAGAGACTTATGGCTGGAGTAGATCAAAAGATTCGATCAAGAGAGGATTCAAACATGGGACTTCGAAATAAAGACGTACTCAAAGCCGGTCCACAATTTCAGTTTCCTTATGTGGCCGACAAACCAGCGGTAAGAGGTCGGGGTAGACAACAAGGTCCTAAACAGCGGGAGCGGATCCCCTCAGTAACCAATACCTCAGTAACCATCAGTAACCCCTTCCCCTGGCCCCCACGTGTCAGCTTTTTCTTTTTATTTAAAAAAATACGGAGGGGCACTAAGGTAAAATTGCACCCCCTATTTAATGATGTCTCTGACGCGCTGACGTGCTGACGCTGACCAGATCACATCAGCGCCTTCTCTCTCCTCAAACAACCTTTAATTTTCCTTCTCTTAATCTTTAACGGACGATTTCTCACTCGTTTTAAGTCGGAATTTAATTTTTTTTGCACAGTTAGATCAGATTAATTGTGCTCTTCAAAATGATATCCACTTTGATATTTTTCAGACATAAAAAAATTTGTCAGTTATTACCAGTCTATACCATATGGTAATGACTGGTATTGACCATACCATATGGTATGAAAAAATTTGTCACATCAATATATATTACGTTACCACCCAATACCATATGGTAATGTGTCAATACCATATGGTATCGACACATTACCATATGGTATAGTGTGGTAATCTCAATATATATTCTCAAAGAAGGGGAAACAGAAGGAGGAAGAGGAAAAAAAACTTGTCTTCTGTCTCCTGTCATTTACTCCTCCGCAATGAAGAACACCGAATGCAAAAAGAAAGAAAAAGAGGAAGAAGATCGGAATTAATTCACAAACAAATACTAAAACACAAAAGATGCAAACTCAACTCACCTAGATCTGTCCCCTCTTTGACAATATGGAGCATCATCGATTTTGAGGCCGATAAAAGAAAAAAACAGAAGGAAGGAGCAGCTTGAGAGTAGAAGGATTTGGAGCCTCACCGAATTTGAAGTGGGAGGCTGCAATTTATTCATCGATTGTTGGAGAAAAAAATGAAGAACAAGAGAAGAAATGAGATTTAGATCTGGAAAAAGAATTTTGGAAGAGAGAAAGGAAGAAAGAGAAAAGAGAGAGGAAGAGAAAAGTCTGCTTTTTCTCTTTCCTCCATTAAAAGACAACACATATAAATGCTGGAAAAAATAAAAAAAAGGAAAGAAATCAAATTTCAAAAATCGGACAAAAATGCCCCTACTCACTCCACGTGCAGCCCAACAATATAATAATGCCATCCCTAGATCTACGGTCCGGATTTAATACTGATAGGTCAGTAACCAATGGTTACTGACCCTATCTGCTGCCCTAAACAGCAAGGTACTAAAAAAGGCGGTCGATCAAAAAAAAAAGATGATGGTTGGGAAAATAAGGTACAATAAACTTGGATATTGTTCAGCTAGAATTTTAATCATTTAATTATTTTTTTTGTTTATAATTTGAAAACTTGATAACTATAATAATTTCTTTTTGCACGAAGTTCAAAATCAAAGAAATTGACATAGATCCGGTGACTGCACTGCCAAATCCCGTTGAGAATTTATGGACGTTTCTACTTACTGAGAAGTTTCGAAACAGTACTCCAAGGTAGATTCTGACATTTTTAGAATAGAAACAGTACTCCAAGTTGAGAATATATATATATATTGTTCACTACTTATTGATATTATGTAGCACTACGTTGGTCGAGTTTGAAACATATACAGCAACAAGAGCAGAGCTTTGGAGTTTGCGTGACGGAGAACATGTTCAATCAGGAGTAAGTGTTATAGTATATCATATATGAAAATGAAGGGTATTCTTTAGGAAATTTCTAATGATTAATTATGTAGGTAATTAATCTTGTTGTTGCTGGGTTAACACTGGAATATCGGGACAATAAAGAAAGCGATTATTGGTTTATGCCCTGGTTATTTACCGTGAGTCTCTGCACTCTTGAATTTATATATGTTTTCGTTTATTTATACTTTATTTCTGAAGTCTTCTATTGTTCATCTAGAATAACATTTTAATGTGGCGTGAACGTCGAACTACTGAGCAGCTAATTCAAAGATACAAACGTCACTATATGGGAGACATAGCAACTTGTAAACAGGTTAGAGAATCGTCCTTTAGAGATACTCTTTCATTCGCGTTGTGTACTTGGCCATTGTTAACATATGTTTTTTGATCACTTTTAGATTTATCTCCCCATATGCGAGCATGAACATTGGTACTTGGCCATTGTTAACATGGAAATCAAGGAGGTATATCTGCTTGATAGTTATGCTCTGAAGGACGATTCTCCCCGTAAAGAAAAGATAAGGCAGATAGTAAGTTTAACAACATGCTTGTGTTTCCAAGTTAGCAAAATAGTCATATTCTATTTGTTTTTAATTTTTGTGCTTTTTTTTTATATATCTTCTATTTTTAGTTGTCAGTTTTGGATGAAATGTTGCATCATGATAATTTCGAAGCAAAAAGTGAAGAAACTATACCATTATTGAAAACGTTTGAAGTGAAGTCAATTCCTGTCTTACAACAACCCAACACGTAAGTGGTTATTTTGACTCGAATTTATGTTTGAAATATTATATTTTTCTTCCTTGCATTCTAACACGGTCTTTTCTAATATACAGTACTGATTGTGGAGTACATGTAATTCAGTATATGAAATTGAGTAGGGCTGGCTATTTGGTCTGGGCTTTTGGGTTTTACCCGAAACTGGACCATATAACCCAGACCAGGACCGGACCGGACCCAGATAGCAAACAATCTAATCCTATTTTTGGACTTAGATTTGAAACAAAAACCCCGTTTGGTATCGGATTGAAAACTGGATAAAGACCGGGTAAGAGAGCCCAACACCCAAAACTCAACCAACTCCTTACCCTTTGAGGCCTTAGGTCACTAAAATGTCCACAAGCTCAATCTAAAATCAAGACCGAATTGAAACTGGACTGGGTCAAGATCGGACCCGTTCAATTCGAGCCAATTTAATCGGCCCGGACCATATAGCCACAAATAAAAAAGTATACCAATATGAATATTAGGAGCCAATTTAATCGGCCCGGACCAAATAGCCACCCGTACTTTTAAGTTGCTAATATTTGCAAAAAAATTATATCGATATGAAATTGAGTAAAATATGCTTCAACTGGGAATTGAACCATGCCCAATGCACAATAATATAACAACTCATCCGCTAGCCTATATTAGTAGATTGATGCTAAACTGCACGCAATATTTTATACCTCAAGTTAATTTATACTAATTTCAGAAACCTTAATAACGTAAAGCAATGCTAATATTCATTACGTAAAAGAAGGCTCAATTACGTAAGGCTTCCGTAATAACTTTTTACAACTGTTACGTAAATGACACATCCATTACGTAAGGCTTCCGTAATGACAGTTGTTTCTTACGTAACAGTTAAATCAGAAGCGTTACGTAAGACTTCCGTAATACCTTCACACTTTACGTAACGTAAGGTTAATATTCATTACGTAAAAGAAGCCTCAATTACGTAAGGCTTCCGTAATGACATTTTAGAACTGTTACGTAAAATACACATCCATTACGTAAGGCTTCCGTAATACCTTCACACTTTACGTAACGCAAGGTTAATATTCATTACGTAAAAGAAGCCTCTATTACGTAAGGCTTCCGTAATGACATTTTAGAACTGTTACGTAAAATACACATCCATTACATAAGCCTTCCGTAATACCTTCACACTTTACGTAACGCAAGGTTAATATTCATTACGTAAAAGAAGCCTCTATTACGTAAGGCTTCCGTAATGACATTTTAGAACTGTTACGTAAAATACACATCCATTAATTACGTAAGCCTTCCGTAATACCTTCACACTTTACGTAACGCAAGGTTAATATTCATTACGTAAAAGAAGCCTCTATTACGTAAGGCTTCCGTAATGACAGTTGTTTCTTACGTAACAGTTAAATCAGAAGCGTTACGTAAGACTTCCGTAATACCTTCACACTTTACGTAACGCAAGGTTAATATTCATTACGTAAAAGAAGCCTCTATTACGTAAGGCTTCCGTAATGAGATTTTACAACTGTTACGGAAGATGCACATACGTTACGTAATCATTACGTAATACCTGTTGTGTTTTACGTAATGCAACCTGTGAAACCTGCTATAGCAGGTAAAAAAAATCAAGTTACCTTACTTCAAGGCATTGTAGGAATTCCCAATAAAGTAATAAACAATGTTCCCACATGGTCGAAACCCCAGAAGGCCATAGAGAAAAAAGTCGAATAATAATCGTAATAAACTAATAATCATACTAATAATACCATTATCATCATCGTCATAATAAACAGGTCACCACTAGGAGTAGAACCAAAAAAATAAACAGTAAACCAGTGAAGAACACACAGTTAGACGGACCTCCTTCCTACTGAAACAAAGCCAAGCAAAGCAAGCAACCACCATGTTAGACCAAGGCAATGCTGCTCTCCCCGCCAGGAGGCTTCCGGACTCCACCAAAGTAATCCCTATGCTCTGCCTTCCCGTCGGCGAAGATGTTGTTTCCACTTATCTCTCGCAATTTCGCGTTGCTAATTGGCTTCTCCGCCGACGATGGAGGCACATCGCCCTTGAAGATGTCGTTTCCTGAGAGCTCCGAGAACTTTTTGTCGTAAATTTTCTTTGCTGTCTTCAGGTTGTCTTCCGATGACATCTGTCCTCCAGCAGGCTACATAGAACACAGCAGATGCATATACATAAAACCAGTAAGACCTCTTCAATCTTTCCAACAATGCTAAGACAACAGTGAATCATTGGGGTAACAGATACTTCACAAAAATACCGATTCTAAAGGCTAGTGGAGGGAGACCAGGTGCAATCAATCAAGTAGCAATTTCAAATCTGATACTACCACTTCAGCAGATTTAGCAAATCATACTTCAGTCAACGATATAAGAGACCATCTATTTTTCTTATTGTAGTTTCACATTTTCAATGGTTGGAACCCACACAATATTGTAAAGGATTATGTTCACTCGACTCACAGTTTAATCAAACAAAAAGTAACAAACAAACTAAAAATATCTAGAAACAGAAAGCGAATGTCATGCCGAATCCTGAGTAGAATTGCTAACTTAGGAATCTAGCAATTGCTAATAAATGATATGGCGAAGCTCAAAGCAGGTCACTAGGGAGGGAATTGCTGTCATATCAAACAGCATACTAGTGCGTTAAGTGTCACTAAGGAGCATCCGACAATGGTCTTTGGCATTGTTAATGATAACGAACAGGAGCGGAACGATTAATACTATATGAATCTGCTGCAATACCACTCTCATAAATTGAACAGTTACCGACTTACATCCCGCAGAGCAGGTTCACCCAGCTCTATGCTTTCCTTGAGTGCCAAAGCTCGGACAGTTGCAGGGCGTGGCAAAATTTCTGGTGGAGGTGCAAAAATGTTATTTCCACTCAGCTCTTTGCACTTAGCATCAGAGAGCTGCTTCTTCAGCCTGGCCTCTGCCTCGGCCTCACTTTCCAATGTACCACTTAGCTCTCGCTGCTTGGCAACCTCAGTCAAGGTAGCAGGTTTTTTAGGAGAGACGCTCTCTTCTTCTCCAAAAGAAATGTGACTGATTCCAGCAAGAGTTTGCTGTAAATATGAACCATGAAAACATATAACAGAGAATATGGCATCTCAGTTTTTTTTTTGTTGTTGTTGTTGTTGTTTCAACAACTTCGCTGATTTTGATAACCCATGGAGTGCATACTAACCTGATACATTCTCATCCCTGTTCTAGCATTAGGGGTAAGATTTGCATTTCCAGATTCGTCTTCTTCATGTTCTCCCTTACCAGAGAAAATGCCACTGCCGGTCATTTCCTTCATCTTGTGTCCAGAACATGGTTTCCTGAAACCCCAGAAACGCAAAATCCATCACGGAAAGATCAGGGAAGAGAGAGAGAAGATAGACATCCGCCAGATCAAGACATAGAGATCCGTTGAATCAGCAAAAGCGTTATTGCTAGAGGCTTGTTGTGTTGTAACGGCTATATTGCTATTTGCTAATCAACGGGAAATCTCAACATTTGAACAATTACAACTAATAAATTGAACGACAAACAGCGATAGAAACAAAAACAAACTATCAGAATAATACTTGCGTTTTTATCGATCAGACAAATTTTCAAAATTGGGAAATCAAAACAGGAGAAGGGGGGGAAAACGATGAGAACTGGAGATCTCACCGTTTGTTGAGACTATCAGTTTCTTCATCAGTCACCTGACCACCGAACACCACCTTACTGATTCCATCGGAGGGCTAACAGAATTCCAAACACATGAACGGAAGAAACAGATTAATAATAAAGACAACCCAATTGAGCATTAGGTGAAAAACAATTGAAGGTACCTGGTGCGACCTGGCGGCGGAGGTGAGCGACGGAGACTCGGGAGGTGGAGTCTCCGACCAAGTGAGTAGATCTGCAGTGGAAGTGTGGGGCTTCCTCACCGGCGTACTCCTCTCCATCCTTCCTTCCCAAAATCCTACGGCCGCACGAGTCACGAACCTTCTCTCTCTACGCTTTCAGCTCAGCTTCGCCTAATCAAGCAAGCAGTTCGGTTTAGCTCTGAGCTTCGGATCTGAGAGAAAATGACGATGGTGACCCCTTGCTGGCGGTTGCGGGTTTTGATCTGGAACTTTCTCCCCTGGTTTTGTAGAGAGAGAGAGAGAGAGGGAGGTGGGGCTAGAGTAATCTATCTATGAGTAGGAGCTACTTCTCTTCTCCGGGAGGGTTGCTCTGTTTTAAAAGCAAAGTAAAGCTAAGATACCAAAGTAGAGCAGTGAAATATATATATTTACAAAGAAGACGGGGTGGGCTGGAGAGGAGAGTGAGAGTGAGAGTGAGAGTGAGAGTGAGAGTGGAGACCCAACGGGAAAAATTAACATTTGCCCCTCCTCCCTCCTTGCTTTGCTCGGCTTCTCTAGTGAAAAAGAGTTTTGAATCTGATACAACAAGAGCAGTCTTCTCTCTCTTGCTTTCTCTGTCTATTCGAGAGCTAGCTAACCATGTGCGTTGGAGTGTTAGATTGGATTGAACTTTTTTTTTTATGAAAAGATTGGATTGAACTTTGGAGAAGGCTGTACTTTTTTTTCTTCTTTTCCTTTCTCGCTGCCACATGTCGTTATAGCTCCGACTTTTCAGTGCTAAACCGGTTTCTGTATAAATGTGAAGTTTCGTCATTGGTTTATTAAAATGTGTCAGATTTAGTTACTGAGAAAATTAATATAAATTTGCTCATTCAAATTAGTAAAATGATTCATTTTAGTCATTCTCCGTTAACTTTATCTTATTTGGCGGTCAACTCTAATAGTTGACCATTAAATATCTAACGTGACAATTAAAAAATTAATAAAAAATTAATATAATTGTTTAAATATTTTTCAAATCATTAAATTAAAAAAATTCCTCCTCATAAAAATCCCTCACATTCTTCAAAACCACCGTGGCTCTCCGATCGCTGCTATTCATCTTCTTCCTTTTTCTCCCCACCACCATATCCTTCCTTCATGTATCCATCAATTCCTCCCTCCCCCCCCCCCCCCCCACACACACACACACCCTAAAAAAACTATCTTCTTCTTCCTCTGTCTCACTCTCTCCCGTTCCAGCTTTCCAAATATCCATAAACAATTTCTACCTCCAAATCTCATCCAAACAACAACAAAAACATTGGTGGCAACAACAAATGGACCCAAGCCCAACAACAATCCCAAACGCTACCTCTTCCCCATCCCCCTCCAAATTCCCCTCCCACCCCTCCAATTGGTCACCGCTGCACCACCAAATCCCCAATTGGCTCTCCTCTTTCCCCTCCTCCGTCGTCTGTCGCCCCCAATTTAAATCTCAACGTGGTGGACGACGACCTCGACAACTCCACGCAGCAGGCGGCGGAGGTGATAGAAAAAGAAGGGATGTTCAAGAAGCCTCTAACGCCGTCGGACGTGGGGAAGCTGAACAAGCTGGTGATACCGAAGCAGCATGCAGAGCGCTACTTCCTGCAGCAGGGCGCCGACGCGGTGGAAAAGGGGATGCTGCAGGGGTTCGAGGATGAGCCCGGGAAATGCTGGCGGTTCCGCTACTCTTCAGGGAAATAACTCTGCTCGAGAACACAGAACCCATTTTTTGTTTTATTTATTTTTGTTTATTTTTTTAATGATGTGGAAATATTAAAAGAATTAAATGTATTTTTTAAATTTTTTAATTGTCATGTCAGACATCTAACGCTCAACTGTTAAAGTTGACTGCCACATCAGATAAAGTTAACGAAGAGTGATTATACGTGGTCCGTTTACTAATTCGAGTGATCAAAATGATATATTTTTTTTCAATGACTAAACATGACACATTTTAGTAAACCCAATGACCAAACTTGGCATTTACTCGCCGGTCTCTGCATCCAAAACTTGAATTCGGTTCGCTACGCTACTCCTCTACTAGTTGTGACTTGTGAGTTCATAAAAGTCGCCTTAAAATTGTTATCCATCATTCTGGAAAAATTTTTTACTATTTTGTCATTTTTAACTTCTTTTCAACAAACAAACGCCACATTATCAAAGAAAGAAAAAAATATTTCTCATCTTTCACTTTCAAGATTATTATTGTTAATCTGAAGCTGCAATTGTCGGGGGTTTAGAAAAAGTAGTATAACTATTGCTCAAATACAGCCGCCCCAATATGAGTAGTTTCAGAAGCTCGACAACATGTTTGGGGAGTTTGTGTACTCTCAGCTAGGGCTGCTAAACGGTACGGTAACCGGTTTACCGTTTACCGTTATATCGGTTTCGGTATTACCGGAAGCCCCTAAACTCCAGCCGGACGCCGATACCGTTATACAGCCGGTATACCGTTACCGTTTCATCTCGGTATCGGTAAGGAAACGGTTTCCCGAATTACCGACAGCGTGTCCCTAATGCCTGGCCTCCTGTCCGGCTGTCTGTCTGTCGGTCTGTCCCTGACTCCCCTGGTCTCCCTGTCAGTCCCGCCAACGCCAAATAATAGGCAAATTAACAATGGTCACCCCATTGCTTGCGGACAACCATTCCAAATGGTCCATTTCTATCCTCTTTTAACATACGGGGAGATCGAAGTGGAAAGGGTCACCCCATTGCTTGCGGCCAACCATTCCAAATGGTCAATTAAATTGAAAATAATAATAAAAAAACCCAATTATCCAAATGTCAATAGTCAATTGTCAATTACTCAAACCAATTGTCAATACTATTATTGTAATTTGTAAATTTGGGGCACAAAGCCACAATGGACAGTAGGCTAATTAATTAAAAAAAAACAAAATCTAACAAGTAAATTCCAAACATCAAATTGAAAAATGAAAATACTAAAAAAATAAGATCAAATATAGCATTATAGTTGTACCGTACGTAGAATTCCAAATGAAAAATGAAAATTCTAAATGTTTAAATTAAATTCGAAGACATGAAGATAAAAATTAGAATTACTAGTTCCTCACTTGCCACTAGGACCTGTACCACCAACATCAACAAAACCTTGCTGCTTCAAAGTGGTGCGAAGGTTATCATCACCATTATCGTCCTGGTCCTGGTCCTCCTCATCTTGGTCCTCCTCATCCTCGTCTGAATCTTCCTCCTCTTCCTCCTCCACCACAACAGGTAAACTTTGTTTGACACCTTCACTTGGCTTGGCAGTAGCACTCTCCATTCGAGTTTGGAAGTTAGTAGTGACTAAGTGTAAAAAAAAATTACAAATTGTTAGAATTCATCTAATAATATGTAATCAGAAGTTGAGTAATGGAAAACTTAAAAATAAATGAAATTAAGAATTCTTACCACTTTCATAATCGATTTGGTCTTGATTTTCATCTTCTGTATCATCAACTTTGTCTGCTTTCTTTCCTCCTTCATACCTTATCCAATCTTCAGAGCAAATCAAGGCCTCTACAATGGTGGGGCTCAACGAAGACCTAAACGGACTGAGCACTCGACCTCCACAACTGAAAGCAGCCTCTGAGGCAACAGAGGAGACTGGAACAGCTAGGATATCCTTAACCATCTGGGAAAGAATAGGATATCTAACGTTGTTCTTACTCCACCACAGCAAGATGTCAAACTTCATATCATTATCATCTTCGTTGATAGCATCATCAACATCTCTTAAGTAGATGTCTAGCTCAGAAGAACCTCGAATCCCCCTCTGTAGTTGCTCCTTTCTCATCTTGAAGAATTTAGCATCAAATGTCCCTCCATAAGATGCAGATCCAGTACCATCATCAACACTAGGAGTGGTAACAGTAGGCTCGGAGGTGCATACTTCAATCTGTAAACCTCAAACATTGCAGTCATCTCTGCAGTCACATCTTTCACCAAATCGTCTCTTTTCTTCTGCCCATACATCTTACCCCACATCCAATATAAATAAGCCATTTTACGCTTAGGATCTTGCACACAAGCCACGTAAACCAGCCTATTTATCCTTAGGTTCTCCCCCTCATCATCATCATCATCTTCATCATCATTATCATTCTCAAACCAATATTTTCGTACCTTTGCCTCCATTCTTGCTGCCATCCGTTGTATCTCTACATCCATGTCTTTCTTAAAAATTTCTATCACTTCATAGATGTCAGCAATAGCCTTGAAGAAAGTATGAGCAGTCACATAAGATGTTCCTGATACATCCAAAAATAACAACAAATTATTCACAAATTAGTTGAATTACAAGTTGAATACAAAAGAGTTATGTTTGTTCACATACCTGATACCCGAAAGGTGAGCTCATAAAAGAACTTCAAATACTTCATTAGCCGTCGAATACTGGTCCAATCTTCCTTAGTTGAAAGACCTCTCTTTGAGTCCACATAATCCCGAAATGCAGAATCATTGGGGCTTCCATGCAAGAAGTTAAAGACAGTCTCAAACCTTTCTGCAGATTCCAACATCAAATAAGTGGAGTTCCATCTAGTTGGAACGTCCAAAGATAGAAGTCTTCTTCCATCCATCGATAGATAATCAATGGCAGATTTGAACTTTGCACTTCTACCTGGTGATGACTTCACCCATTTAACACAATCTCGAACCCTTTCCACAGCAACTCCAACCTCCTTCAACCCATCCGACACAACCAAGTTGATTATATGTGCCACACATCGAAATTGCAAATACTTCCCACCAATCAAATCTGTTCCCCACTCTTTCATCTTTGTTCTCATACACTCTGCAAGAACATTATTAGAAGAAGCATTATCCATGGTAATGGAAAACAACTGTTGTGCTTTCCAATCTTGTAGACATTCTGCCAATTTTTCTGCAATGTCCTTCCCTGTGTGACTAGTGATGGGAACAAAGCTAATGATCATCTTTTGCAACTTCCAGTCACTCCCAATGAAATGAGCAGTCACACACATGAAATTCTGGTTGTTATCAGAAGTCCATGTATCTGTGGTGATAGAAATTCTTCCTTTGCACTTGGATTTGAAGAACTCAGATAGCAACTCTTTTTTCTCCAAAAAGATTATATAGCAATCCTGCCTTATTGTCTGTCTTCCAGGTATCATAAACAATGGTTGTGTTACCGCCATAAATCTCTTAAACCCTTCATGCTCAACAAAGCGAAATGGCAGCTCATCCAAGATGATCATAACAGCTAATGCAGTTCTAGCTCTTTGTTGATCAAACTTCCATGGAGTAAGAGAGCCTACCTCACCATCCCCAGGTTGATAGTTCAATAGTGATTGACCACTGGCTTCCTTCCTCTTCCTCTCACATGCCAAGTGATGTTGCTTCAAACCAGAAGTCCCGTTATTGGTCGAGTGAGCTTTGATCAACGTTCCACATTTTTTGCATTTGCCATATGGGTAGTCATCCACCAGAACCTCATCATAAGGAGTCCACCACACGGACTTCTTCTTCCTTTTTGTCACCTTCACAATTTTCTTTGCCTCACCCACTTCATCTGCTCCCCTTCCCATATCAGTCACCTGTGTAGGCGTGGGCGTGGCAGCTGCAGGAGGTGCAGTAGCAGGTGGAGATGTAATGGCACTGGTAGGTGTAGGTGTACTAGATGAGACATTCCCTTGAATCCCTTCTGGAGCTCCAACACGAGCACCCACTTTTTTGGAAGTGGTTCGAGGAGGAATAGAACCACCTTTTTTCGGAGCATCTCCTTTACGAGGACGAGAAGATTTCGTCCTACAACAAAAAAGAAAAAATGTAAAATATTAAAAATCATAAAATTGCCCACATGTCAAAAAAGGCATAAACATTAAAAATTAAACAACTATCTTAAATCTTACATTTTTTACTTGGATGACGACAATTCACAGACACTCGCATAGTATGTAGAACTCTAGCAATGTATGTTAGGATTTAATGTTGAATGATCACTATGCTTGATTACACTTTCGATTATACTAGTTTTGTGCCCGCCTGATGGGCGTATGTTTTATTTTTTCTCATTTTCATAATAATGATAGGCTATCTCTTTGTATATACTTATTAAGATTATTTATTATTCAAACTTCTCTTATAGGAGGGCCGCCACACCGGGAGGGAGCCAGGATTTTGATTTAGGAGGGACCAAAATATAACATTTGTATAAAAAGGAAAAAAATTGATAGAATTCAGTCAAATTTATAATAAACCTAAAATTTCTTCGTAGAAATGAAAATATTTCACAAAAATATTCATATATTACATGCATAACATATATAAACATAGTTAAAATGTTATATACTAATTTAAAGTCAATGTTAATCATTTGGAAACTCATATGAACCGTATAATCTAAATATACAAAATAGAAGATTTAATATATAACTTCTGTTAGTATATGATATAAAATTCACTATTAAATCTCTCACAATAATTTGAGTTATTGGCATCCTGAATTGGTACTTGGCATAATATCATATTCTTCTGTAACCGAAAGGTCTACTATTCCAATCTCGACAACCTCAATTGTTAAGCACATATATTTCGGATGTGTGAAATGTGAAGCACATGTTAGTGACTTTTGTTTGAAAAGGCGTGCTAATATGTGGTATCATATCCATTATTGAATCTCTCGCGACAACTTATATTTCTAGAATCAACTGGTTCTTACAATATCGATCAAATTATGGTTGACATAAACATTATGTATGGCAATAAATTTAACTAACAGTTATAAAACAAGAAAAGGAAACTCATGATTACGTACTCTATTCTTCACTGAATTCATAGGTACAAGATGCACCATAATTAATAATACGTGTATAGACTTCCCCCCACCACACATCTTTAATTAATAGCATGTAAAAAAATATTAATTATAGTGGACTAGAGTAGCAAAATGATTCAATTAAAATTATTATAGTTTTCTTTTAGACGTATAAAATGAAGCAGAATGTTGGGTTTCAATAGAGTGCTTGCTAATTGTGAGTAAAGTAACAATTTAGGAGGGTTTCCACTAAGCTAGACCAAGAACTCCCACCAAAACTACCTTCCATCTATATGTATAAACTCACTACCAAAAAATTTAGAGAGTTACTATTGGTCTCCCTAAATTTTTAAATTTTGTCGCCCTAAATCATACAAATTTACAAAACAACCCTTCATTTAATTTTATGGTTCAACCACCAAAATTAATGCTCCAACCATCTAACCCAACTCATTTAACTCATTCTTCCAACACAAAACAGAAATATCAAACCAAAAATTAAAACCAAACCACACAACACAAAATCCAACTACAATCTTCTACATTGACAAAATTTTAGCTGGATTCCGGCGAGTTTGCCGGAGGTAGAGAAGTAGTCGGTCTCGATCCTCATAGCATGCAGGGCTTCGGACTAAAGGTAAGATTTCGTTTGCAATTTTTTTTTTCTTCTAGAAAACAAGTCGAGCATGTTGAAAATCTGCCTCGACCGGTGGTCAAGCATGTTGAAACCCTGCATCTGCCATGGAACGGACGGGTTGTCCACCTGACCGTTCCATCCTCCAGGAATGCTCGCAACATGCTCGTCCTCCTGTCTAAGCATGTTTTCAACATGCCCGTCTCTCGGTCTGGTCTAGTTTTGAACATGCTCGAGTAACTTTGTGATGTCATAGACCTTTTTTAATGAAAATTCACTTAAATTATGATATTTATGTTCATTAAGTTTCGTTGTTAATTGTGTTTATTAGGAAGGAGGATAAAAATCTTGTGCCACCATCATTTACTAAGAAGGAAACTATTATGGATGATTCGGTAAGTAGTTATTTTTTATAATTTAATTATCGTAACATAATTGTTGCACAAGTAAATGTTTTTACCTTGTATTTCTTGTAGGGTGGATCCGGAGTTAATGAGGGTGCCAATGTTGATTGCACATCATTGTTTCTAAGTGATGTTTATGATACCCATGATCAAGCTTGTAAAGCGGCAAAGGAGATTGCCATGAGTAATAGTTTTTCCTTGATAGTGGCATCAGTCAAGAGAAACGTTGGAGAAGGCAATCCGCGGATCTATATGGATTGCAACCATGGTAGTAGGAGCAACTCATATACGTCTGATCCCGCAAAGACAACACGGAGCAAATCTACAACAGGCAAGTTAGGTTGTCGTTTCCGAGTGGTGGTGCAATCCGTAAAAATAGATGGCAAGTGTAAGTGGAGAATTCATGGGATTAAGTCGAGGGGATTTCACAGTCACAGATTGGAGGTTTACTCTGAGGGAAGCAGGCAAAAGAATGCTCTTTCGCAGGTGGAAAAAATGAATATTAAGGAGTTGGAGGCAACACATACTCAGGCGAAAGATATCAGAAGTTTGCTCAATATGAAGTACGATTCTCATCACAACATGACTCAGATTTATAATGAGACAGCAAAAATTAGGCGTGAGAGATTGGGTGGGTTGAAACCTATGCGGTGGACATTGATAGAAGCTCAACGTCTTGGCTACTTTATTGAGTGTGAATTTGATGATCAACGTCGTGTTACTAGACTCTTCCTATGCCATCCTGAGTCGATTCGGATGTTGTTGGCATGGTATTTTGTTGTTTTGATAGACTCGACGTACAAGACTAACAAGTATAAGCAGCCACCGGTTCAGTTGATTGGTGTTAGTCCGGTGAAGAAGAACTTCAACATTGGGTTCGCATTGATTTCAGATGAGACGAAGGAGACATATGCTTGGGTTTTGATGCAATTGAAGATTGTGCTTGGTGATCGAACCCCGGTTGCGTTCGTCACAGACAAGGCGGGAGGATTGGGTGTCTCTTTGCAACAGATCTTTCCATCTTCAGCTCATTTACTATGTGTGTGGCACATGAAAAAGAACATTGAAGCCAAAATGATGCAGTTGGGGATTGGTCGTGATTTTGCTGAGTTATTTGTAGGAAGTCTATGGGAGAGAGTCTTGCGAGCTAATACTGAGGCAGGGTTCCAACGTCGTTGGCTAGAGTTGCAAAATAGTCATTGGGGTTCAAACAACAAGTTAATGGACTACTTGAGAGGTGAGTGGTTGCCATGCAGGGAAAGGTGGGCAAATTGCTACACCAATCGCATCTTCATATGTGTTGATGCCTGGTATCGGCTGCTATCGTCATCCTCCACCATGTCGTCATATGTGTTGATGCCTGGTATCGGCTGCTATCGTCATCCTCCACCATGTCATCATATGTGTTGATGCCTGGTATCGGCTGGGAAACATGGCTATGAGTGGGAGGAACCACTGCAGCTTGACGACGCGAAAGCTTCTCCTGACGCTCCTCCTCACGAAGTCTATCTGACTCCTCCTGACGTTTTTTCCGCTCAGATACTGTAACGTTGCGTCCGAGAACCCTCGATTTTTCCTTGCCCCTTCTTTCGCTCATTGTTGCCTGCTATCAAGAAAATAAAATTATTTATTTTCAGAATTGTAATTGCCAACCATACATCTTTTAACTATACATAATAATTATTTACAACCATAAAATTTATGAATTCCAATACTTATTATATTATCAAATACTAATTATATTAATCATCACAATTCATATACTAATTCTTACCCTTTCTTTCGCTTATTTTTACCAACTATCAAGAAAATAAAATTAATTCTTTTAGTATTGCAATTAACAATCCTATATTCATTAACTATTTATAATCATTATTAACAATCAACAACTTTTTCAATTCAAATAATCATTAAAATTTGCATTTTAATTGGAAAAAAAATCAAAACGGGTCGGACCAGGGTCCGGGCAGGTCAGAGACCGGGTCGGGCCAGGGTCCGGGCGGGTCAGAGACCGGATCGGACCAGGGTCCGGTCGGGTCAGAGACCGGATCGGACCAGGGTCGGGGCAGGTGGGCTTCCTGGCTCTGCCGGATCCGCGCGGGTGCCCTGCCTGCCTCTACCCAGGCCCTAATCGGACGCCCTACCTGCCTCTAGCCACTGGCGACGGGTTTTCAACCCGCGACGTCGGCGCAACTCAAGAACTGAACTTCTCCTCAAGAAATATCCAAGAGAGGGAGAGGGAGAGGGAGAGATTTACCTTCGGCGGGTCTGAGCAGAAGCAGAGGGCTAGGGGCGGGCGATGATTTGGAGGCTTCTCCTTCCTCCTCGGCGACAGTGCGGCGGATCTGGGCTTGGGCGAAGATGCTGGCGGCGACGGATCTGGGTGGCGGCGACGGGTCTTGGTGGTGGAGACGAGTCTGGGCGAGGGTCTGGTTGACGACGGCGACGGGTCTGGGTGAGGGTGATGCTGGCGGCGACGGCGGAGGGTGAAGAGCTGCTGGGTGAAGGCGAGTCTGGGCGAGGGGTCTGGTTGACGGCGGCGACGGGTCTGGGTGAGGGTGATGCTGGCGGCGACGGCGGAGGGTGAAGCGCTGCTGGGTGAAGGCGATGCTGGCGGCGGGTGGCGAAGGTTTTTTCTTCTGGGTGAGGGCGATGCTGGCGGCGGGTCTAGGTATCAGTTTGTGAGGGCGATGCTGGCGGCGGGCCTGGGTGAGAATTTTAGTATTTGGGTTGGGAGAATAGGGTAAGTGACGGCAGGGTTAGGGTTTAGGTTAAATGAGGGTAAACTCGTCCATGTAGGTAAGTTTAGGGCGATAAATTCAAAAACTTAGGGCGACGAATAGGAATTCAGCAAATTAAAAGAAATAAAAAAAAGTTACTATTTACCGCCCGAGTATATACTATTTCCCGTCCGTAAATTACACTAAAAAGACAATTTTGCCCTCCAAATTTTTCTTTATATTCTATTCTCTGAAATGGTTTTTTAAACAATATACACACCACCCAGCCACCAACCCCCCACAATCACCATACCCAGATTCACGGCCACCGGACGACAACCTAAGTCGCCGGCCACCAGACTAATCTCGTCAGCATAATTCGTCGGCCACTGGACGGAAGCCGTACCACATCGTCGGACCAGCGAATCAGGTAAACCCCCGTGGCTGACCTCCTGTATTTTTTTGAGAGTTGCTAAAGGTCGCCCTAAAAAGTATCAAAGTTATACTTTTAACCCCCCTTAGCTTCTTTACCTTCCCTTTAGCAAACAAACACCACTTGGACTAAAAAAACACTATCTAAGGAGAGAAAAATCCATCATCGTCATTTTGAAGCCGATATCGTCGGTAGGACGTCTGAATCATGAGTAGCGACTCCGACGAGGTAAAAACATTAGCTGGAAAAATAAAAAAAAAACACAAAAAATGGGAACCGCGGGTCACTTGCGGTTCGACCATGGTCCAACGGCAGGTCACTTGCGGTTCAGCCATGGTCCATGGTCGAACCGCAAGTGACCTGCGGTTGAACCATGGCTGAACCGCAAGTGACCTGCGGTTGGACCATGGCTGAACCGCAACTGAGCTGCGGTTGGACCATGGTGCAACCGCAAGTGACCTGCGGTTGAGCGTTTTATGGGTTTTTTTGTTCAAATCAGTATTTTCTATTTTTATATGATTTATGGTTTGTTCCATGAGATAATTTGTTGGGTTTTGATTTATATAATTTTCTAGATTTATTTGCATAATTATTTTTGGAATTGAAGGATTTAGCATTAGAAATTAAGATTAGATTTGGTCTTAACTTAAGATTAGATTTAATTTGGTCTTAATCTAGAAAATAAAGATTAGATTTTGCATTACAAATTAAGATTAAATTTATTGCATAAATAATAGATTCGCATATGAAGTTATGATGATTATTAAATTTAATATAGTTATGAAATTTTAAATTCATATGGTACTCGTTAAATTGACGATATAGAATGTTAGGTTTTTTTAAAATTTGTGGGGTATCACTTATAAATTCTGATAACATTGCAGGATATTGGAAGTTACAATCCGGATGGCCATGATTACACCTTGGATTTCATTGATGGCGTGAAATACACTACGGAGTTGCAAGCATATGAAGCAGCTACTGAGATTGCCAAGGGTTTTGGGTTTTATTTGGTGAGGGCAACGAACAAAAAAATTAAGAATGAAGGTACTTGGCGACATTACTTACATTGCACTCATGGTAGGAAGAAGAAGTCGAAGGAACCTGATCCGAGTAAGGAAAGGAGGCCTCTTACATCTACTGAAAAGTTGGGGTGTGAGTTTCAGATCAAGCTTGAGCGGTCCGGTGATGGATATTGGTTGATCCTAGGGGTGGCAAATACAAAGAATCCTGGTGCTAATTTGGGTTTCCACAATCATCAGTTGGAGCTATTTCCGGAGGGATCAAAGGGAAGGAATGTTTTGATGACAGAGGATAAGCAATACATCAGAGAGCTGAGATCAGCCGGTGTCCCACCAAGGAATATCAAGGCAGTGAATGAGAGAAAAGGTGCAAATGGAACACACAACAGGAAGCAGATTTATAACAAGTTGCAAAAGATAAGGAAAGAAGAGCTTGGTCAGATGACAGCCTTACAGTATACTTTCCGCGTGGCTCAGGAGAAGCGTTACTATGTGCAGTATATGAACGATCGTAACGTGCTTACACACTTGTTCCTAGCACACCCCGAGTCAATAGTGATGTTGCGAGCTTGGCACCATGTGATCGTGATAGATGCAACGTGCAAGACCAATAAGTATGATATGCCTTGGGTTGAGATTATCGGCATGACACCAGTGGGATTGAACTTTGTCATTGCATCCTCAATATGGTGTACAACTAATCTATTTTTTTAAATGAGATAGTTGGTGCCCCGAATGTGAATGCACAAACCAACTTCGAGAATGGGACGGAGCCGATCCATAATGATACAGGTTAGAAATTATATTCCCAATTTCAGGTAAACATATAGTATAACTCTTTGTATTAATTTATTTTGTTATGTTCTTAATCTAGATGGTGCCCCGAATGGGAATGCACAAACCAACTTCGAGAATGGGACGGAGCCGGTGATCCATAATGATACAGGTTAGAAATTATATTCCTAATTTCAGGTAAACATATTGTATAACTCTTTGTATTAATTTATTGTGTTATGCTCTTTGGCTAGATGGTGCCCCGTGGAGGGTTGCTCGGATTCCCAATACTAGTTGGAAGAATTACCCATGGCTACATTGTTTGGAATCCTACGTGCAACGACTAGTTCGTGGTTGGTACAACCCTATTCCAAATGGACACTGTGGATTTCGAGCTATATCACAAGCAGTTACTGGGGACCAAAGGAATTGGCCACAAATGAGACGCGCTGTTGTAGAGGAGCTTGAATCCCGTCCTGAGCTTTATAGAGAGTACTATTATGGAATAGCAAATGGAATAGAAAATGGCATTAGACGTTGCAGTTGGGCATCAACAAGTGGTTGTGGACCTCCCAACTGGATGGATAATGTGGAACTCTTCGTCTTCGCCACCTTGCATTCATGGGCTATCGTTGTATACAGTCAAGGCGGTCGTTATACTGTGCTACCTGTGACGGCCCCACCAGGAGTAACAAGACCACGTGGGATCTTATCACTACATTTTACGGGGGATCATTGGGTGCGACTTGACTTTCGACATGGTCAAGTGCCCATGCCTCCAATTAATGGCCTTTGGCCTATTTATCATGACCCTAGTGTCAATGGGTGGTATCAATTCTTCTTACATGAGCGTGCGCTTTATGATAGTTTGAACCCACGGGGATGACGATTGGAAGTATATTTACGAATTGTATAACTCTATATTATTGAAATATTTAGTAATCTACCATGTTGATTAACTATTTTAGCAATGCATTGAATGTAACTAAAGTAAAAAACACAATCGTTTCAATTCAACTACAAACGATGACAAATAAAAAACACAATCGTCTCAGTTCAACTACAAACGATGACAAATAAAAAACACAATAGTCTCAGTTCAACTACAAACGATGACAAATAAAAAACACAATAGTCTCAGTTCAACTACAAACGATGACAAATAAAAAACACAATCATCTACTAAGGCGGCTGCCCTACCAACTGATCGTACAACTCGTGAACCCCAGCTACCATATCATAGAACTTACCACCGTCCTCCTCAAACTTACTCCGGTCCCTCGTCAGCAACACAGGACCTAAACGATCCACAATCTGCTCTCTCAACTGTAAATAGAAAACAATGTTGGAATAAATAACAAATGTCCTTTATATTTGGAAAAGCAAAAGAAAGGCATAACTAACCTGATGAACTAGTAGTGGTCGAGGCTGAGGCACCCCATCAGAGCTGGGGTGGGTGATCCGTGGGTGCGATCTAGTCAGAAACCAGTCAACGTACTCCTCCACGATCTCCGATGGGTGCTCGCACGGCCTAGAAGCAAAATTCAAATCTAGACGATGGGCTGCCATGTTATCCCACAACTGATTCACAAACAGATCCCAAAAGACTGTGTAACTGCTGCCGGAAGCCGGACGGTACTGGTCATGTGGTACCATCATAGCACGGGGGATAATCTGTTGGTATCCAAACTAGCGCAGACAACGTGCAGGATCGTATCCCTCAACAATGTCAGAAAAGTGAATGATCCCAGTAATATATGTGTAGCCATCTCGTCCGTACGGAGTCCATGTCACATCATCAGCCGAAAGCTCATCCAACAACAGTCGATAAAGTGCTAACCTATGTCTAGCATCATCCCCACCTGGCAAACGGGGAGAAATCCACGAGGAAGCACGAGGTGCATCCGGAGACTGTGGCAGCTGGCTCGGACGGAATAGAGGAAAGTACTCATATATCCAAGCCTGAAGCAGGGTCAAACAACCACAAAGACCCTTACTACCCGCTCGTGTGGCCACTCCCAACTGTCTGTAGAGATAGGCTAGTGCACCAGCTCCCCAAGTGTAATCAGTCAATCGTCGATGATCCTTCAGAAACAAGTTGATTGCAGGACAATGGCGATCACGACTCTTATCCACAAAAAGCGTGGATCCTAGTAACACAAATAGGTAACACTTCACCTCCATCTCATTAATCTTTAGCTCTCCCCCACGCACCAACAATCCCTCCGCATGCATAGCATCATTATCGTACCACTTAGACTTCCACTTACCACCAACATGAGCATCCACCGAAAGTCAAACTAGACCACCCATGTCTGACTTAAGAATATCCGGCGACGCCTCATCTCCCATCAGCTCTCCATCAACCGGAATACGAAGAATGTGATGCACATCGTGTAGAAGGATCAAAATCTCTCCAAACGGCATGTGAAAGGTATTTGTGTCCGGCTGCCACCTCTCCACAAATGCCAACAGTAGAGCCATGTCTAAATGCTGCATCATGCACCCTGTCAAGTGAGACAATCCTGTGGCTTCAATCATCTCCTTGGAACCCACTGCACTCCACTTATATCTCCTCAAAGACTCTACAGCTTTCGGCCTATGGAAGCCGTCCAACACTCCACGGTCCTGCTCAGGGGAAGTCCACAGTACAAAGCCAATATGACCGTCAACACTCCACGGTCCTGCTAGGGATCACATCGGGAATCGCTGGTCCACCTGAACACATCTGAGACTCGGATGTAAGAAACCACGACATATCTTTC